AGTAAGGCACTTGTTACTAGTAGCGATGCACTTGTTACTAGTAGCTTATTTGTTACTACTAGTAAGGCACCTGTTACTACTAGCGTGGCACGTGTTCCTAGTAGCGATGCACTTAGGTCTCCAACCTCTTTGTCGCCCTAGTACCTGAAGCACAACATGAGTCGGGTGCTAGCTGCAACTACACGAGCTGGCTCTCCCGAGGCGAGCTTCAATTTCATTTTCACAACAGAAAGCATATGAACTTGGAAACTGCATACTTCCAAAAAACTTCCAGGTTGGTGCCGTGCAGAGCTTTGGTGTCACTTGCTTTCTCATAAACCCGACACCAGCGTGATCCTCGCACACTCTTGTGTGGTCCCTTGGTGGCACATCCTGTGGAGCTTGATCTCTCCAAATGCGAAGATTGCACCCTGAAATGAACGGGGTGATCCGCACGGTGATCCATGTAGTTCGTTTCTCAGGAAGTGAGACTGATGTTTCCTCTTGACTGGCAAGAGAACTCTATTGTTGATGGTGACTTCACCGTGCCAGAAGATCGGGACGTGGTTGCAAAGCTGGGAGAGCGTGCGGTGAAGAATAAGATCCATCACTTGTCTACTTGGCTTGATTGACTTGAGTACTGCTTTGAGTTTCAGTGGGGTGACTGATTCAAGAATTCAGGAGCCTTGCATTTTTTTGTCCCGAGCAGTCACTGAGAGCAAAGGTCGACAGCGGGACCACTATGGTTATACAGATTCTACAAGGCTTGTGAAGGCAAGTTGCTCTTGGCCATCGCTATTAGAAACAAAGAAAATAGAAAAGGAAGAAAGACCTGATATGGTTTGCTGTTAGGTTGAAGGCCATTGCTACTAGGTTCATTTGCTATTAGGTTGGCTTGTGAAGGCAAGTTGCTGGGGCATGCATCCTCGTGGAATGTGCCGAGCTTTTTGGACAACTTCCGCTACGAAAGCCTTGACTCCTGTGTGAAGGAGATCGACACAGCAGACCTATATAATTAGGTAGGTGCCTACTTAATTTGAGTAAACACGTTAGTAGCGATAGGAAGCTACATATGGACGCAGCTCAGCTCACGCTTCTTCAAGGAAGCTCCCCCTGCCCAAGGCCGGGGGGAGCTTTCTTGAAGAAGCGCTCGCACCACTGATTTGATTCCTAGATTTTTAGGGAAACTCAGCAGATCGATAGGGTGTATCATGAAATTGCTTTGCTTTGAGCAGCCTGCAGGACGTGCATTGTATGAACGCGATGCTTTGTGCTGTTCTAGCAGGTGACTCTGGAATTATCCGGGCACTGGCGAACCACCGAGCTGACGTGAATTTTCGAGTCAAAGATTTGGCTCAGTTGGGATACTTTGATGGTCAAACACTTCTGATGGTGGCTGCAAAGACACGATCCTCGACTGAACAGTCGGGACAGAAGACTCTTCATGTATCTTCCATTCTGGTAAATTGTTGCCCTTGACTTAACGCTACTAGGGGCTCCTGGCATCGCTACTAGGAGCAAAGACGCTACCAGGGGCTCCTGGCCTTACTACTAGGAGCAAGGACGCTGCTAGGAGCAAAGGGCATCGCTACTAGGAGCAAGAACGCTGAACACCTGGGCTTGGCACTCTCAGGACAGAAGCCTGAACTGCTAGCAACACTTATTGAGCTCCGGGCGGACATCCATGCTGTTGCTCCCAGTGGAGCTGGGCTGGCCCACTTTCTCCGCACTCCCGAACAAGTTACCCGGCCAAGACAAGACAAGACGGAGACTTTGCAAGGCCGTCAGGCCGCCTGCTGAACAGCACACCTGTGAGACTTGATATTTGGGACATTGGGTGTTCAATGACACCATGTTGTCACGCTGAGTCACTTCAGCATTCAACTTTCAACACCACTCAATGGCGCTGAAGCCGCTTCAGCCGTTTAGGTTAGAGGGAATCCCGTCCGCTAGGTGGGGAGACGGACGGTTGGTCTGGCTTCAGGTGAATTTCCTCCTGACGGCTCGTGGCGACGTGAACAAGACCACCGGCCCCATCTTCCTGTCGCCTGTGGCAGCAGCCGCTGCCATGGGCCGCATCGGCACCCTGAAGGCCATGCTGGCAGCCAAGGGTGATGTCAACCCACCCACAAGAGGCCCAAAGTTCGTTTCGTTTCGTCGTTTTCTCCTGCCTTTTGTGATGTTTTATGGTTTATGTGTGTTTATTTGGTCCGATTTTGGATGGTTGTGCCCTGAAAACGCTCGGTTTGGGACTTTGGTTGTTGATTTTTTGCTCAAACCCACCTTAAAGAGCCTGACAGTCGACGATGCAAACCGGAGAATTGGGAGGGCTGAGGGCTTATAGCATTGCCATGTGTTGCAAGTTGTCCCGCTTGAGGACTTGGCCATACCCCTCTACATCATGCGGTCTTCTTTGCCAGAGGAAACCCAGACGCCGTGCAGATCGCGAAGCTGTTGATCGAGCATCGGGCCGACGTCAACGCAGAGACTCGACCGTCAGGCAGCATTCGGTGGATTACCTTGGCTGCCCAGGTGGGGTCTGGATGAAGTCAGGGAGCTTCACCCTGTGTTTTGCCTTTGTGGAAGACAACGAGAGACAGGTGTAGAGGGATGAAGACAGGTCTAGATTTCTCCAGTCACCAGTGAGCTTAAGGCCTACATGAGCTGCATGGGCGAGTCCTCTCCACTCAGCTACAAGGCCTTTGCTATGATGCCAGGAGCCACGCCACTACTTGAGGTGGCCTGGACAGGAGACATGGAACTCACGCGGCTTTTGCTGGAGGCTGAAGCAGATCTGAATTCCAATGACCCTTGACTGGAGAGAAGATGGAAGGTTGGAGGCCATCGCTATTAGGTTGGAGGCCATTGCTAGTCTGCTGCCCCCGTCAGTTAAAAGAGGTGCCGAACAAAGTCAAGTAAAGTCAGTAAAGTTGTTTGTGGCTGCATGCTGTAAGGCATCTCCGGTGAGCCATTTGTACAAGGCAATGGTTTCAGTCTGTTTACACTTAAGATGACCCTTTACATTTGCCTATCGCACACCAGAAAGGCAGGCCTTGCTGTTCTATATCTGAGGACTTTGGATACTCGCCAGAAGATGTTGCAAAAATGAATGGGCATTTTCACCTCCTACCCCTCTTGAGCCTTTTCAGTGTTTAATCCGAGCCTCTGAGGCAAAGGTAAGTGATTTAGCCAGAGATACTTGGCGCACCAGAAATCAGAAGCTGTCATCCTAATCATATCCTCTCTGAGACTCTCGCCTCATAGAGGGCACGGAGTGTTTCGAGCTCAGCTTTGCCAAGCGAAGCAGACATCCGAAGATCCTAAAGATCCGGATTCACTAAGCGCACGGTGAGAAACACAGCAGTTAAAGCGATGGCCTCCAACCTATACGGATTCACTGAGCACATGGTGAAAAACTCGCATTTTCAGAGCTCCGCTTGGCCCACAGCTGGAGCTCTGCAGGAAAACCCCAATGTCTATGTCTCGGGTTTGCAGGGGGACTCAGGGGGATGGACATCGAGCTCAGCCGAGCACCAGTTCATATTTGAAGCTGAGTCGAGCTTGAGCTTAGAGACACCCCATTTTCGTTCTTGCCCACAAAATATGAACGACGGCGCCTCGCCTTCACTTTGAGGCCACCAGACGTCACTGCTCAGGAGTGACAAGGGCGCCACATCGACCGTCGTCTTCGGCGCTGTTTCAGCCTGTGGCTTCCAGTCGTTCAAGCGAGGAGCTGGAACCTTTGTTCAAGCGAGCTGGGGTGCTGAAGGCGGGAAGGCTTTGCAAGGCTATGCCGATCTTTCAAAAGGTTCGACAGGACATCTTAGTCCTTTCATGGCCTTTCCAATTTCATGAAATCACCAAGCCCATCCAGCTCTCCAAAAGTTCCAACTTGTCATGACATCCAAAAGAATCTTCGTCGTTCGACCAGACTGCTGTCTCCCGTCTCCAGTTGGACATGGAAACTTGCGCAAGCAAGATTCGTGTGTACGCTGGTTCTGATGGAAAGACCTGACCTCAGAGGGGTTCTCCGAAGGTGTTTTCTTTTTTTTTTTCGTAGACAGTGGTCTTACATGTATGTAGCTATGCTATCACTTCATATTCAAAGGCTTCTTGTGGCAGTTTGCTGCAAAAGTTCAAGACTGTTCACCTGTTTCCAAATGTGCCATCTTCGCTGGGCCTTGTATAGTAGGTTGGAGGCCATCGCGTCTAGGCCATTGCTTCTAGGACAATTTGTAAAGCATTCTTGTTACTAGTAGCGATGGCCTCCAACCTACTTGCGATGGTCTCCACCTACTAGCGTCCTTGCTACTAGTAGCGTCCTTGTTCGTAGTAGTAATGCCAGGAGCTACTAGTAGCGTGCTTTCTCCTAGTAGCGATGCCCTTTGTTACTAGTAGCGTCCTGGTTCCTAGTAGTCAGGCCAGGAGCCCCTAGTAGCGTTCTATATTTGTAGCGTTCTTGTTTGTTGCGGTTCACCCAGGTGCAAAGGTGATGCCTTGGTGACCTTTGCGAATGCCGCCTCCGTGGAGCTGGCGGCGTCTCGGCTGCTCTGTGCCGCTTCAGAAAGGAAGGGCAAG